GAGAGAGAGAGAGAGAGAGAGAGAGAGAGAGAGAGAGAGAGAGAGAGAGAAAGAGAGAGAGAGAAGGAGACTCCTATATGGATGGATGTTTTATATTCCACGAGGCATTTTATGCTATCCTTATTTTAGGCAATTGTTTTTGTAATAGATACATTAAAGGTGATCATTTTATTTTATTGCTAGTCATTGCTGACTGAAATATTTTGCCAAATGAAAGTAATTACTATGACTATATTACTTTTCTAACCTGTTCTGTGTATTGGAACCCAGGTACTCATAGTATGAAATTCTGTTACCCTGTTGTTTTTTTAAAATCGTATGATGCTATGCTCTGACCTTGTTTCTATAAAGACATACAACTGTTATTCTCTTTCTTTTACTGTTTACATCTTTATTTTTCTAGAGGTAGCAGGAGAATTCTAAACTTGTTTAGAAATATAAAAATAAGAAAAATTGAGCAATTTTTATTATTCCATTAGCTAACATCAATATTATAAGCAAGGAAACATTACAAATAAATTTAGGTCAATGATAATAAATAACAGCAATCCTTATCATATTAAAAAAGAAAAAAGGACAGAAGGAAAGATACAAGAAAGAAGGGTAGAAAAGAAAGAAAGAAAGGGAGGAAGGAAGAAAGAAAGAAAGAAAAAGAGAGAAAGAAAGAAAGAAAGAAAGAAAGAAAGAAAGAAAGAAAGAAAGAAAGAAAGAAAGAAAGAAAGAAAGAAAGAAAGAAAGAAAGAGAAAGGAAAAGAATGGTGGGAAGTGGAGGGAGGGAGGTATCAACAAAGCAAAGCTGAGATCAACAAACTCAACCCCACCAATAAAATGTCAGCCAGCATTACATATGGCTGGTATTTACATATTGAAATCACGTGCTATCTATCTCCTGTACTCTAGAAATCTTCAGGCAGAAAGAAATGCATTGCATTTAAGAGCTTTTATTTGGAAACATGGTGAAAGAAAAATACTACCGAAAAAAATAATGTCTGTTAGCTTTCTGTTCTGACCCACTAGTTAATCATCTGGCAATTCCATCAGAAGCTTCATGTCCTAATGTTGCAGCCAGGCAGAATAGCAGCGTTAGACCCAGAGGAACCGATGACAGCAGTAGGCATGTGAAGTGATAGTAGTTGAGTTCCAAAAAATGAGAAGAAAAGAGAGATCTTCTTGCTCCCTTGATTTTCCTTCACAAACTATAATTCTCTCATCCCCTCTTCTCCCACACCTGCCACCCCATAATCTTAGCCTGGGTCCATGAGTTTTCCTTGAGAAAGCCATTCAGCTCTCCATAGGGATTTGGTATTGATCCCAGAAGAAGGTGGGAGTCAACTCATTTCAGCTGCCAAGTTCAGGGAAAAGCCATGCTTTCAATGACACGTATTAGACATCTGTGGTCCGGACTTGAACTTTTTTTTTTGCAGTGATGAAAGATAGCACTAGACAAGGTTCTCATCTCTCAGGAGACAGATGGAACCTTGCCACAGAGTTTTGCGGGTATGATCCCACCTGAGAGTACAGTATGTTGTGATTTTTTTTCTTCATTATTTTTAAACTTTTTAGTTTTTTTTTTTTTTTTAATTGAAAGCATATACCATGTAGGCCTGGATCAAAGACCTCATAAAAGGCTGGCTCATTGGAGTCTTGCCAATGTTACTGCCAAGAGTTCTAAGAGCTATATTTGCTGCCGGAAAGAAGGAAAATCTTAATTCACAAAATGACTAATAGACATGTCAGCCCAGTCATTCTAAAAGTCCACGGCAGTCTCAGGGTATCCCCTACTGTGCCATACCCCCAAAACCATGCGGGCATATGGTGGGTGGGAATAGAAAACTCTTTCTGAACCCCCAGTGTTATGAGAAAAAAAAATGTTTAGCAGGTGATTCATTCTATCACAAGGCCCTAACATTGCATGACGTCTGCTTGGTGCTCCACCCAAGTCACAGAAAATGAACAACTTCACAATTGCTTCAATCTGCAGGAATTAAGATCCTAATTCCCCTGACTCGAAAATAAAGCCTCTTCAGATCAGGTCACTCTGACAGCTACAGTAACTCCTGCACGTTGCAGGGCTTGGCACTGCTGCAGCCAGAAATGTGTTTATGTTCTTATGAGGGATAGGAGGAGTTGAAGGCTTGAAAGGGAGAGCTGGGCAGGGGAAGCCACAGCAAGGCTGTCTTAGAAGCTGTGGGGACGGACAGATTCTTCGAAGGATGGAGCATGAAGAGGGCTCTGGCTGAGCCCATGGAACATCCTGTCCAGGTAGGAAGAAGGAAGAAGGGGAACCAACTGGAAGCAAGAGTGGGCAGCTTACCAAGAGCACGTGGTGTCACAGAGGTCAAGGGTTGCCCTAAGGCCAATGCCACAGACGGGTCAAAGGCATGGTTTGGAGAAGTGATCATTGGCCACTGGAGACTAATGCAAGGTCAGTTTCAGTGGCATGGCAGGCACAGAAGCATGAGGGCAAGGATGTTAAAGATAGGAGTATTACAGCACCTGTCTGAGATATTGGGAACGGAAAGGAAAAAAGTGTAAACTTACCCAGAAAAGGCAGCAGGGCCAAGGGAGGGCAAGAACTTAAAGTGCAAATCATTCGCATAGGAAAACATTACAAATATATTGCTAGCCAGTATGGGATTAATGCAAAGTGAAAAATAGTTGCATAACTTAACATTAAATATTTCAAAATATTTATAAATGACAAAATATTATATGAATGTGATGGGAAATTTTGGTGAAACAAAGAGCTATAATAAATAACATTCTAGCAGGTACTTTTGAAGTTCACATAGTTCTTTCATAAATCCTTTGAAAGTCTTATGAGGTAGATCTTTCTGTTATTCCTAGTTTACAGGTGTAAACCCACCTGCCCTGGGGTATGACAGTGGTGGGGGTGGGACTTCTCTGGTGTGTACCCTCCTCCCTTTTTATTTTAACTTCTATCCCAAATCAATTCTTCAACAGAAGAAAAATGACTGAAATTTACTTTTTACAAGACTTTTAATCAAAACAGATGTGTTCTTTTATGTAAACAGATCTTCCTACAGATATATCTCCCACAACCATACACCTTAGCTTTATCTGAAGTGCGTCCACCAGCAGCTCTCTTAGAATTACCCTTCTCTATTCCAACAATTCAAACTGCAAAAGTCATGCCATTCCCTTATCTATCCATTGCAAATGACAGCAGGAACGAAAGGGTTGCTGATATAGAAATACCTAATGCCTACTCCAGCCTTGCTGTTCCCTGTGACATACATAAAGGCAATTAATTTTCAAAGATATTAGTCTTCTCTACGCATCCACACATCAGGCCTGACATACACATTGCTGGTCTGCTAGAATAATCAGATCAACTTTTTTTTTTTAATACCAAAAAAAAAATCTAAAGTAAGATTTTTATAAAGGATAATTAAGCAAGCTAATATCGTGATAAGTGGAATACACAAGAAAAATATGTACTAAAATATCTGCTTTGTGCCATGCAGAACGGGTGTTTTAGGAGATTAACAATTATGATCGCCAGTCCTCTTCTGATTCCATAATACCTCATACAATCTTTTTTAAATTACTTTATTAACCTTTCCTCCTAGCGCAGAAGTGCCCGATTATAGATAATATTTCAAAATCATCTGAGGTGTAAGTGTGTTTGATTTGCTTGGTAATTATTTGTCTACTTTATTACATTGGCCAAGCACACAAGCTCCTTGACCAGCTTTATTTCAAGTCCAGTTAAGAATAGGGTCATATCATTTTGTGGATCACTCCCTCTGGGCCCTGACGTATGTGAAATTTTCATATTGGCAATGGGGACGGTGCATGAAAACATAATATATTTTAAACAGGGAGAAACCATTCCCTGCCCTGTCATGAAAGGTTTCAGGCCTTGGGCTTAATAGAAAGAATGTTGTTCACAAGAAAAAGGAAGGTGTTTACTGCCCCACATGACGAGGATGCAGGGTTCAAAGTCTAAGCATGCAAATGCCTGTTGAGGAAATCTAAAAGCATATCACTCTCATCCTGCTGGTGGCCTTACCCGGGGTCTTTATAATCTGCTCCTTGTCATTCATACCACCCATGGATACCACTTCTATTTTGATCTGAACTGTGGATGCCTTTCTGGCAGGAATTTTGACTCACTCAAGACAGGAAGGAGTGGGGAGGGGGCAACCACAAGGGAAGATCGCAGACCTTGTCCTTTTAACAGGAGTCTGGAGGAAAGGGCCATCTGCAAAGTACGCTGGGATTTGCAGAGGGGAAAGTTTTACCGTTCCAACTTTATAACTCAGGGGCAAATGAAATGGATACTTACATGTTCTTAGCTATGACAACGCATTGAGATGAAACAGGGTGCAGGACGTATTCGGGAGGGCCACCACCAGGATGAAAGCAGCAAGCAGGAGGACTCTGTTTATTGTCCACAATCAACAAATCCTGAAATTTCCATATGGAGCAGGATTCCAGGGCTCTGTTAGTAATACAGGATACGGCTGGTCAGCTCAGTCACCCATGGAATTACAGTGTAGGGTATGGATGCCAGTATTTTAGACCCAAACCGAGCATAAAAAACACAAAGTAAAATTCAGTGTCAGCACAAAGTTGACAGCGAATGATTATAACAGCTTCGAAGCTTGAAAAAGAGTGTAAATAACTAGGATCCCCTGCGGGCTCACTCAGCCTGCATACATAACAAACGTGATGGACAGCCTCTGTGGTAAAGTCGGGGAAACGAGGCACTGGGAAGATGCAAAAATTCCGCCAGCAAAGAGCCTTAACTGTCACCTTTCTGACTAAATCAGCTACTTTCATATAGAGAGAGAAACAGAACAGTAGGCTACGCCTTTAGAAGACCGATTGCCCCTTTGCCTAGGAAGCAGGAATGTTAATTATCGGCTTTTCTGTGGTTATCAAGACATTGCAACCCCACCAGCTTTTGCACTTTGGAAAGGAGCACTCTTCTCCCTGATCTTTAATCCTTGGCGTTTTTAGTCTACAAAAGACTGTTATTCAGAATAACTCTGCTTATTTACAGAATGCAAAAAATAAAGACTAAAAAGAACAGTTCTGCATCCCCAACTGAACTGTTCATGTATTCGATCGCTTTGACTCGAAATTTCATGTTCTTTGCGGTCTGCATGCTTATGCACACCAGTGTGCACACATGCACACATACCTGCACCCAACAATGAATGGTTTGCAAGTATTGAAAAATGAGAATTACATCATGGCATGTGGCCTCCAGCCTGGGGTAACAGACATCAGCTTTGTGAGGACAGAGCCTCATCATCCCTTGTACTTCAAAACTCAAAGGAGAAAAGAAAGAGGGGAGGTCTTCTGCAGGTGCCTAGCTAGCACTCCACAGGTTTGTAATTCATTTACAAGATAATTAATCAATTAGCAAATGATCCCTTTCCCCTTTGTTATTTATGCTGCATAAGAATTGCATCTCCAAATGAAATGGCAGGCCACTTGGATTGAAACTTTGCCCTTCAAACACATTGGTCTTATTTATCTGAATTGAACAGATGCTTTGCAATGCCAGCCCATTGTAACTGGACTGTTTGCTATTAGAACCTGAGTAAGATTTAAGCTAAACAGAAGAGCATAAATATGACATCCTATAGACATTCAGGATGATCAACTGTGCTGTATCATTGCCAGCCATTGCTACTTATTCATATAGGAAAAGAGGAAGGAAATGCACTTGACATTGCTAAAAGGGGAACTATAGTCACTGCAAGGAAAGGTGAAGATGGAATTCACACAGTTATTGGCTCTAGAGTGCAACTCTGGGGTCTTAAAATGCAATTAAATTGCTACAATGTATACATTCTGTTTACAGGCTAAATAATTCCCATTTCTTTCAGAACTCCATGTTATAGCTAGCATGTCTTTGGAAAGCAAAGATATCAGGCAGCATTTGCTCAGGGACCAGGGTATTTATCGAGTTTCTCAGATAACCATCACTAAGGAGAAGGTCTGAGCAACAGTGGCATGATGGAAATCCCCTCAGGCCCACTCTCATCTGAGCCTGGTCAAGAGAAGTTATGGCTGTGAACCGTCTTTAACTTTTGGGGCCTCAGTCAGATTCATCCTCTACTGTAAAATACGCAAGCTGAATTATGTGATGTATTTTTGTTCCCTGCACAGCTATTGTGTTATGAATCTTTGCATCCTTCCATATTAACATTGATGCCAGGTGGGAACATAGAAATCTTCTTCCTCTTGGGCCAGGGCACGGGTCTAAAAATATTTTCAAAGCAAAGAAGAAGGTTCCCAGATTCATACAAACGTTTCAGCAACCAAATGAGCGGAAAGCCTGTTTCTGCCACTGTGTTTTTAAGTCAACGGTTACGTATTAAATTACTCCTGTGTACACACATACAACAAAGGCATTTTGGGTCCATTTGTACAGGTCAGAAAATGGGTCAGCTATGTAACACTGAACCACAGGTGTGCACATGGCAGGACAATTCTGTCATCTATTGCTTCCATGGAGGACTTCTGGGACAGATTCAGAGCCCCAGGTCACTTGGCACAGCTTTAATAATAAAAGAGCTACAAGGAAAACTTCTCTAACCCTTGGCTCTGTTGAGAAAGGAAGTAAGAATAAAACGCATTGGGATGTTTTAAAAAGAACTGTGAAACTTAGTAAATGAGAAAATTAGAGAAAGATCATTATAATAGGAAAGAACATCTTTAAAAACAAACAAACAAACAAACCCCAAAGCTTAGTGTTCTTTTTATTTTTTCTCAAAAAAAAGAATGGTCAAATGGGTACAGAAGCAAAGTACTTAAGCCATGTTGAGCAGGGCTGGATTTGTTTGCTCCCAGGAATAAAAAGCACAACAGTGAATCTTGGAGGCATTATTTCTTAGCAGAATTAGCATAACCCAGCACATCAGAGTATTAAAATTTAAAAAGGATTTCAAACTGTCCTGGTATCATCAGCAGAGTCATGTCACAGATTGTTTTTTATTGTTTCGGCAGGCTAAGTGTAATTGTATCAATATTTTAATGCTTGATGCATATGGCCCGTGATACATTGCTTGCATAAATAAAAAGCACCAATACTCAATTGCCAATGAAATAATCACACACGCTAGGTCGTTATTATATCATGCATTATTTAATTACAATAATCAGAGTCCTTTTTAAGGTAAAACAAGATTAAAAAGATTTTGCTTTATTGGATCTATATATTTGATTTAAACTTTACATGTTAGCTTTGCATTAAGAATTTATAAGGCATCAGTTCAAATGGTGCTATTATGAGTTTATTTCTTTTATAATTAGTACAGTACTCTTCAAGTACTCTGACTACGAGAGATAATATTTCAGTATTTTAATGAGCTTTTTAAGTGTAATTGATGTAACAATCATTGAATTACACATTTCTACCTGAAGAATAATGAAGGAAACATTTTAATGAGAAATTTAATCATTATTAGCAAATGATCTACTAAACTGCCATTTGCTGACATTTAAAAGCTTAATAGCAGAAAACTGTATTTTCCTACACCTGCATCAACATCGATGGCGATTACTTTTCTGGTACTCTGATTTCCCAGGTTAACTTTCTACTGTCACTAATTTATTTATAAATTTGAGAAAACTTTCTTTAACCCACAGTTGTCAGACCCTTTCAGAAAGTGTGGGGCTTGACACTTAGAGGGATAATTTAAATAAATTAGACCCTTTTCCAGCCTTCAGCAGTTTTCAGCATAAAAGGGCTCTTTCTTGTGAGTATTCATGCTTGCATCAGCTTGATTTTGATGAATGCCCTGTGAATTCCCTGATAGTACCTCAGACAGAGAGACCTTAGACTGATGTCAACAAGGGTTTTTAAAGCTCCCTCATTTCAAGCACACATCAGCATTCCGAGAGGATAGACATGAGGAAGAGGAGCCTACTATGCAGCTTTGCCACTTTTGGGGTTGGGTTTGACTGCTGTTTTCAGAGGAATTTCCCGGCCAGGGAGAGAGGTTAGAATAGAGACATCTAGTGAAATGCATAACAATGTGTTTTGAGGGTGTAAAAAGACTCACAGGGTACTACAAGGTAGGCAGGATGTATGTAACCCTTTGAAGGTCAGGAGAGTCAGACGAAAAGCTCAGCCTTCTAACTGAAGTGTTGGAGAGTGCCAAGTTGGGGTCGGTATGCAGTCTGGCTTAGGCATGGCACCTGGGCAGAGACTAGTACATAGGACTTTGCCTGCATTTCCCATGATCCTCAGGTCTTTCCCAGGTATCCATGTGCCTTGCTAATTCCATAAAGGCCAGTCATTTTCAGAACCCCTTAACGGAGTGCTGCTTCTCTCACTGGGTGATTTGTATGATGTGAATAGTCAACCTAGAGGACAGAAAGGGGTTTAGATAGAAACACGTTATTATGTATCCAAAGTACAGTGAGATTTTTTTTTTGTTTTTTTTTGTTTGTTTGTTTGAGTTCTGATTTGGAGCCCTGGCAGTGAGTGGGCAGAGGGAGGAAAGAGAAAATGCTACTTTTTGACTCACACCTGTCTCCTGATGACCACTAAGGTCCCTTTCAGTCCAGACATACTATGTTTAGCCTGGTTGCCAACTATTTTCATCTTAGAATTTTCACAGCCCTTATTTTTTTCTGTGTCTTAAAGAACATTGCATGTTGTTTATGGATTAATACTGATGTCCTCCCACCCCCTGCAAAGTCATATGTTGAAATCCTAACCCCCAGTGTGATATTAGGAGATAAGGCTTGTGTGTGTGTGTGTGTGGGGGGGTGACTAGGTAGGTGGAGCTCTCATGAACGAGATTTATTGCCCTTACAAAAGAGACCCCAGAGTGCTCCTTAACTCTCCCCACCCCAACCCGTAAGGATACAAGAAGACAGAAGTTTGCAACCCGCACAGGATTCTCACCACAACCTGACCATGCTGGCGCCCTGATCTCAGATTCCAGCCTCTAGAACTGTGAAAAATAAATTCCTGTTGTGTATAAGTCAATCAATCCATGGCAATTTGTTATAGCAGCCCAAAGTGACTAAAATACATGCTCTCAAGAAGATCTTTAGAATTAAAAAAACAAAACAAACTCATTTCCATTTTCCTCATAACTGAGGGAGCCGGGTTCGGTGGCTGGCTCTCCACAGCACCCTGCCGGCAGCTTGGTGACAGCTCCAGCCCTGACAGGGTGCTGCACACCATGCCTGGGAGCCGATTTTTGGGCTTCTTACTGCTTTGGAATGAGCAGACAATGGTCATGTTAGTAAATGACCTCCAAGGGGTTAAAGCACTGAAGGAACTATTGAAAGGACACATTTCAAGTAAAGGAAAGAACAAGAAGCAAGATCTCAGCTTATGTTTTGGTTTGGGTGGTCATGATGCAGCAAGAGATTGTTGATATTGTTTATTATGGAAGGTGTCATTGCCAAAACTCAAAAAAACAAGGCTAATCTTCTGTATTGGACTACCTTTGAAAGA